CTCTGGGAACGTTCAGTCTCACGTCATCGGGATCCGATAGTTGTAGAGTACCAAAATGACCATCTGTATTTGGCATTCCGTTACACGAACGTCGACGGCCCAAGGACAAAAATCTACAATATACGTATGCTTTAATTAAATAGCTATTATACACGTAACGATAGTATTATACTGGTATACTATTTAATTACAATTATTGATTAAGACAATAAAATCTATATCTGAACTGGTTATATATAGTATTTAAGCAGTAATGCTAGCACTAAACATTTCATTATGCTGAACAAAGCTAACAGTGCTATTGTTCATGCTTTACCTGGTCCCATACACACGCATATATACACACCCCGTGCGCTCACAGTACCGGGTACGCATACGTTCATACTGGTATGGTCAGGTAAAATACACCTTTATACTGCACTTATAAGGTCCAAGGCCTATATATGAATCGATACATTTGTTATAATAAATCTGATAAAACTTAAACAAGTTTAAACTTACCGCAAGCAGCTATTTGCGCTCCAACATTCACTACACGGTCCGCACCCGTAATGTCCACCCTTCTCACCTGTAGTACACTTATTAGCGCATGCGTAACTTACCTGTTAAAGTTACCTGGCTGGAAAGCGCGCGATATTCAAACACTGATATTTACAATTTATGTACACCCTGTCCAAATGGCATGTGACATCTCCCTCGTCAGCCTTAAATTTCTCCGTTCGAGACTTTGGAGTCTCTGTTCAATATTGAAGTGATGTTCTTCCTGTTTGTTAATAATGACGGAATGTTTATTTATGATGTTGTTTCCACTTCATCTATTAATGTATTCATCATAATAATAGGAAGTTTCACATTAAATGTCATTACTTAACATATTATTTCTCTGGTCAAGCTTGTAATGTCATTATACCATTTTTGAATAAATTGGTCATGTAAGCTAGTTTTCAATGTATGTTTAAAAAATAATTTGCCTACGGTACATGTCTCTTGATTTAAGTTCCAACATCTTTATTTGCTTTTTTTCACATGTTATTTTACAAAAGACAGTACAAAACACAATTTGCATACACTCTTGCTCTCGTACTATGGATATTTAAGTATAACTTTCGAAGTCCCATCCGAGATGCACATTACACATGTAGTACCTGTGTATTTGTGACCGTAACGGTCTGGAGTTGGAATGAATTATTCGAAATTGGTTAATACACATCTCGGGCAGCGATCAAATTAGGTACAGGTTATAGGTGCATATGTGGATAAATATACAATACTTGGTAAATAAGCTATGGTATCATTAAGTTAGAAAAGAGTCTCCATTTTTGGAGAAAGGTATTTTGTTTCCCTTAATTTACATGTTGCGATATATTTTTCCACTTTATAGTTGTACACTATATCTCTCTTTACACTTTCTATAAAAAGTGTATCACCTTTAACAATTAACATAGTAAGGTTCTGCACATAATATGTTTTACCTATTTTCCCAAATATAATATCTTGTTTTGCAAAATTAATGTAAACAGAGGTTTTTGAGAATATCCAGTTTCCTTTTTTGCTTTTATTTATTAATTCTATGGTGATTGGAATAAATGGTTGTTGCAATCCAACCGAGGCATTATTTAAAGTACATGTCAGCCATAAAGGCATAAGTGAGCTTCTCAAGCCGTAGAACACTGTATGAGGTGGGCAGAAGTCATAGACTTGGCAAAATTCCTCATAAGAATAAAGACGGTTATTTTCTATATGAACCATATTTTTTGTCTCTCAGGTATTTAAAAACATCACTACGTTTGGCCTTGTCGCCCAACCCTCTACAGTTTACGGTTAAATTTTTTAAACTAGACATAATATATCTGTATAATTATTTTACAAGCACGTATACCAAGGTTATTGTACATTTTTAAGCTACAAAAGTACATGTTTCTGCACAGTTTCTCACATCTTGCACACACACAACATAAATTACATAAAAGGCGATACATCATATTGTAAATTCCGCGATCCAGTTGGCTCACTCCCCATAGTGAGTATACATTTTTCCCAGGGGATTTTACGGGGTACATGTATATGTATATGTATATGTATATATATATATATATATCTAATTATCTAAAAACTAATGAATGGCGCTGAAATCTTTGATAAAAGAAGCTTATCTGTCATATTTTTATGCCCCCGCAATAAAATGGGAGGGGGGGGGGGCATATAGTGTTACCCATGTCCGTCCCGTCCCGATTCAATGTAAACACTTAGCAACTTCATTCTTTGACAGATTTTGGTCAAACTTTATACATTGGTCAAGTATGAGTATACTTAGGACATCCGTGTGTTTCAGGGATCCAAGGTCAAGGCCAAGGTCACACTTGCTTTATATAGAAAATCGTCAACTGATTCAATTTAAACACTTAGCAACTTCATTCTTTCATGGATTTTGGTCAAACTTTATGCAAAGGTCAAGTATGAGTATACTTCGGACATTGTTGTGTTTCAGGGTTCCAAGGTCAAGGCCAAGGTCACTGTTGCTATATAGAGAAAGATATCTACTGATTCAATTTAAACACTCAGCAACTTCATTCAATATGTTATGGAGATAGTAATAACGTACAGAAAAAACATGAATATTAAAATCAACTTTAAGTGTAGTACCTTGTGTGTGTGCATGGTTCAGGGTATCAAGATCAAAGTGGTTGTAACTTTTTATAGAACACTGAAACTAATTTCACATGGCAGCGGGGGCATTTATGTCTTGCAGACATTTTCTAGTTTTGCTATGTATCTTGCGATAGTCAGTGTATGCTGTTTTCAGTTTACTGATTAGAGTAGGTAGGTAAAGCTCTTTGCAAAAACACTTTTGACAATATATGTAGTGTTTCATATTTAGAATTATGACATTTTCTGCCCTGTTATTCAGATTTTGATTTTGTGTTATTTTCCCAAAAATAAAATATTTTTTACATATATTAAAAGTCACATTACAAGTACAGTAGTTTGGATCCAAATTTGGAAGGTAAGAATAAAATTTTGGACTTTATTACATTTAGTACATGCTGAATAGTTTCTTTTCTATGAAGCAAAAATTACACATACCAGACTGAACCAAAATTCTGTAACTTTTGTATCTAAAATGTGATGATTAATTCTAAATTGTTGCAGCCATTGTAATTTTGAATTTGTATCAGTGTCAAAAGGTAGTTTGTATATTTTCTTCCAATCCTCACTTGGTATATTTCCAAATACATTATTCCACTTTATTTGACCTGTAGGCACTACACTATTTTTGTTCAGCACATTGTACACATCCTTTGTACCTTTTTTTTACGTTTGATAATTATATTAATATACAGTGGTGTCAATGGTAGTGTAAGCTTTTTTTTCAAAAGTCCAGCCTAATTTTCTTATTGCAAAAATGAGACCATTGTAATCAATAAAGTTAGTATTTAAATTAAAAATATCATTGAACTCATTATGTTGAAGGAAACTGCCATCTTCCTTAATTAGATCATTTATGAAAAACATCAGTATTACAGTATTATTGCCTTCTTTGATTAAGTCATTATACCACATGGGTAAAGATAATACTTGATCTGGCTGAGATATATCAATTTTCCCCCTTAATGTATTCCATGCATGAAGGACATCAATCCAAAATTTGTTATGAAGTATATTTTTGATAACATAATCAATATATTTATTTCCTAAAGTTAACAGTTTATTCTTATTTATTTTTTCAAACAGTAGGGTCTGCCAATTTGAAGTCTTAAGACAAATATTTCTTATCCATGTTGATTTTAGAGCCATTTCAAAATGTTTGATACATACTGTTTGACAATGACATCTCCTTTTACTTTAGCTATTGGACTTCCCCAAAGGTATTCATGAAACAACTTTTGAATTTCTATCGTAATATTTTGGTTAGGAGAAGGTAATCCTATGAATAAATGTGTTAGTATTGGTAAAAGTAGAGATTATATTACAGTAATCCTGCCTATCGCAGTTATATACCGTCTATTCCACTGTTTAATTAAATGACTTTAATTTCGTAATTTTTTCTTTGAAATTGAATTGAGCTATTTTAGTAAGGTCCACATCAAAGTGAATACCTAACAGATTAAAATGTGTTGAACCCCATGATATAGCAAGATTATTGACTAATTTTTCTGTACTATACTTTTTACTCCCTATCCATATTACTTGTGTTTTTGTGTAATTTAATTTAAGTCCCGATATTTCCCAGAAATAATTAAGCCCTTTTATTGCAGTGCCATCTAGAAAAAGAGAAGTGTCATCAGCAAATTGTGATATCAGATGTTCTGTAGTGCTGATTTTGATGCCTTTTATATGTTTATTTATTCTTAATTTTATTGCTAATATTTCTGCACAGAGAAGGAAAATATATGGTGATAACGGGTCTCCTTGTCGACAACCCCTTCCTAATTTTATGGGTTTCGATAAGTTTCCACCTTGGTTCACTAAAGAAGAAATATTATTTGTAAAGGTTTTTATCCACTGCTTAATTGACTCACCAAAATTAAAATATTCTAAAACTTGATTTATAAATGACCATGATACAGAATCAAAAGCCTTTTCGAAGTCAATCAAAAGTAACATGCCTGGTATGACTTGTTCCTCTGTATAATCCATTACATCATAAATTAATCTAGTATTGTCAGCTATATATATATCTGCCCGGAATAAAAACATCCCAACGCTATTTTAAGACTTAAAATATATCAATAATATACAGATACATTAATCTATTTTATGTAGACGTTATACTGTTAAAATGAACATTAATGAATATGACTTATGTATTGCTAAATTTAGACCACCAATACATGTATGTACATGTGTACCTCTAAGTCGGTGCATATACCTAATATTTTACAGAGTATCATGCTTTTAATCCTCAAATATCAACGTATACTTCTTTCATAAAAGGATACTGCTTAGAACGTCTCATATCTCATTTATTTGTTTATTTATTTATCTATTTTTTTTAGCAGACAGGAGAGGAGAATATTACCTTGTGAACTCGGACCCTTCTCGGTTGAACGAGTACACATGCACAAGTGGGAGTTTCCAATTTCAATGTTTAGTAGAAATCACGGCACTAGGACGAGGGAGCGTACAACTGTAAAAAAGTAAGTACCTTAACAAATTCACACTTTTGTTCATCATATATTGGATTATTTCATACTCTTCAACTAAAACATTGACATTTCAGTAGTAATTATATAGTGTGATTCTAGATATACGGATTACTTCACACAGGTGTAAACTTAACCTAGGATTGGTAGGGGCCGGTGTACTGCGTCATTGATTTATTTAGTGTGTTCAGCTGTGGAGTTGTTAGCGTTCTGCGAATCACACAATTATGTGTAAGGGAATTGTTTTTACATTATATAAGCAATGGATGTTTAATAAATGTTGTTATGGGCCTATAAGACACATTGCTATTGATGACAAACTTAATAAAGCCTGGCAGTAATTTATTTAGTGTGTAATTATGTATTAAGGACATTCCAATATTCTCGAGATTTTAAGCATTTTCTCACATTTTTCTCGACAAATGCATCTCCATGGACATCCAACCTTATGATATTTACAAGTTTAAATGTTTTTTTTTCCTGAATTGTGACTTTTATTTAGCTTGGAAAATGAACATATAAAAAGTCTGTTTTTCATTAGTTATTGAATGTTTTTTCTGAAATTTAGTGTGCATGTACATCAATTATGTTTGAGAATTATTGGAGGATTGTTATTTTGTGACAGGGATTGTTTAATGCTATCGGAATGCATTATTAAATTTGATTTTCCGGTCGGTGTGGCAGCCATATTGGAATGTCCTTGAGCTACTTCCCAATGACAAAATGGCTACCACCACTCATTTCAAATAAAGTACTTGAACAAGCACACTGAATCATAAAATTTGCAATTAAATGGTATATTTTTGAACAATTCAACAATTGAAAACCACTGAACGCAATATTTCCTGGAAAAAATGAAAATGTTGATTTTGGAGACGATTAATAGTGATTTTTTTTCGAGTATTTTTGTCGAAAAGTTAAAAATATGAACATTGCACATTGCATGAGTTTCAACTTTGTCGAGAAAAGTGTAAGAAAATGCTTCAAATCTCAAGAATGATGACATGTATTTTGATTGGATATTTTACAATAATTCATCAAGCTAACAAGACTTTTGATACAAGTCGAGCCATATTACCGGAGTGAGAACCTGTAGTGATTGGTGTATGTACAGGTAAAATATCACTTGCTTTGCACTCTTTTTTACAACCTAATTAGGCTTTGTTCGCTTTGTGCTCAGTTGTTTATTATATTTATTCAGGGGAAATATATGCCATTATTCTGGAGATTTGACAATTTTTCTTACATTTTTCTCGACAAATGCATCTCAATGGACATCCAACCTTATGATATTTACAAGTTTAAATGGGTTTTATTTCCTGAATTGTGACTTATATTCATCTTGGAAAATGAACACATAAAAAGTGAGTTTTTTCATTAGTTATTGAATATTGTTTTTGAAATTTAGTGTGCATGTACCTCAATTATGTTTGATTAATGCTAACGGAATGCATTATTGAATTTGATATACAGTTTGGTGTGGCAGCCATATTGGAATGTCCTTAAGAAATGTTTCTACATTAATAATAATAATAATAATATTTATTCAGGTAAAAGGCAAATAATACACGTATATCACATTTTGCAGATTGGACAGAAATATATATATATTATCACAGAATGAGATCTTATTTATAAGTTATTTATGCCATAAGACTAGTAATCAGTCAGGTGTTAAAACTGGATTGGATTAGATTAATTTAGGCCTTTACCTGAGATGACCCATAAAGCCACATTGTGGCTTGATTCCAATGGGGTCCCTTAGATCTAAATAAATCAATTCAATTCATAAAATAGTTACATAATTATATAGTATATATTGATAATTTGATAAGACTCTAAGACACTTCTTTTATAAAAAAAAAAATAAAAAAAAATAGATATAAAATGTTACATGTGCCATAGGCTATAATCAATGAAATAATGCTGGTAATGGAATGATATAAAATAGGAAGAGAGTAAAAATACATTGGAATTTTAACAATCAAAGATATATAGTATTAACTTAAAATATTACCTGCCAAAGGGCTGGTGGTTGGGCCAATCCCTACCGGGGGGGGGGGGGGGGGGGGGTCACCTAATATATAGTTGTATTAGGAAAGAGTTCTGATTCGGTGGTGGTCATATCAACTCTGGCCACCTTTAGGAACTCTTTCCCATACAGAGCCAGAAATAGTGTATTCGAAATGTATATGAAAGTATACTAATAAAAATCTGACACAACTTTAAAAAATGGAATGAAAATAGGATTTAAGTCAAATGTATATTGATTTTGAATAATTCAATTGACAAATTTAACAAGTTTTATTTGAATTAATTGCTACTTGCAGAAGAGGGCGGGTGGTCGGCTAATCCCTACCGACCAAACTCTCAGACTGCATATAAAGTAACATTACATACTTTAACAAGCTTTTATATAATATTGTATGAGATTTGTAGAATATATGGAGGGATCAGTATTTTCTTTGAAAATTGTCTTTAAGTCAAATAACTTTACATCTAGATCTCTTTCCAGTCATTATAGTGTTCGTCAACTTGCACAGCTCTGCAGGCCTTATTACCATATATACATGTTATATTCGTACCTGTGCAAGCGCCCAGTCACATTGGCACATACAAGTATACAATCAGTGAAATAACATAACAGTAATAATTTAAACCAACTATTCGGTACATATGTATATGTAATCATCATATTCTGACCAAGTCATTTGAATGGTCAACCAACCGGTTCATTGTAATAAAATACTTTGATAAGAACCCAAATATCCTCGACAGGATCTTGGTGTTTGATGACTATAAATAATTTGGGTACTTGGATCCAAATACATGCATGGAGGCGAATTACATAGAAATATAGATGTTGTTTTACTATGATAACGTATATCTGGATCAAACCAACAGTTTTTGTGTAGTTTAGAATTTGAGATAATCGCTATTTCAAAAAGAGAATTACGAGTTATTACTTGACATTTATTATGATTTTTTTCTGGTGTTTACAGATGGTTTGGACATTCTTTGCATTGAGACTGGTCTTTGCACTTCAATGATATACACGTTTTGAAATGAGAAGGGAGATAACTTTTACATACTACATGTAGTACATTTGTTGTTATTATATGACTGGTGCTAATTCCCAGCCCTGATTGAAGGAGCGATGTCATGTGATGAGTCTGTGAATATGTTACAGACCTCGTTCTATGAATAGAAAAGTGTTACAGACCTCGACCTATAAATAGAAAAGTGTTACAGACCGCTACTAAAAATAGGCCTATGTAATTTCCCACACAGTCTGTAATTCTGTTACCAATCAAACTACTGAATTCAACTAAAAATGAATTATCTCATCAAATTCTGAACTATGTAAATATTGATGATGTCGATTGTGCAAATAATATTTACTTGAAATTAAATCTGAAAATTTAATTTGTGTGTATGATATTTTGTACCTATAGTCCTTCACTCTGTGATTCCAAAATAGTCCATGCCATCCATGTGTTTATGAATTGAAAAATTATTAATCTCATTGTAAAATGTCATATAATAAAACAATTGTGGACTTCAGTCTCGGTCTATCTCTGATTTACAGACCTGGTCTGAAAAATATTTACCTCGGCCTTCGGCCTCTGTGAATATTGTTCATACCAGGTCCGTAAATCAGGGATAGACCTCACCTGAAGTCCATAATTGTATATTATTAACACACCTTATTGAAGTATTCACTGTTTGGTTATTTGTTTTAGATGGCCAGGGACGAACCGGTGTTCATGGGAATTATAGCATCATTATTTTTCATATGCTCTTCACAGGTAATTATAAGGTGGCGGTGCATGACGCTCCTCCTTTTCTTTTGTTGTCACCTCTGTGTAATGCTATCTTTAATGCTTCGACTAATATAACTGATCTCTTTACAGGCGTTGCTAAATTATTTCTTAGTAAACAGAACCCCTTATCTAGTTTTGGGATATATATGTATATACATGTATAACTAACTGAAAACGTTTTTGCACCGACGCTTGAAATATTCTAGCAAAATATTGATGTAACACTATATATTTACATTTATTTGAATGGTGGGTCTGGCCCCCTGGGGGCTGAGGGGCGTAGCCCAATAGGGGAAATATAGCAAATTCTTTAAAATCCTTCTTCTTCTGTAGGAATGAAAAGATTTGGTCCATATTTGGTCTGAAGCATCCTTGGGTGAAGGGGAACCAATTTTGTATAAACTGTGGGTCTGGCTCCCTTGGGGGCTGAGGGGCGGGGCCAAATAGGGGAAATATAGCAAATTCTTTAAAATCCTTCTTATTCTGTAGGAATGAAAGGATTTGTTCCATATTTGGTCTGAACCATTCTTGTGTGAAGGGGAACCAATATTGTATAAACCGTAGCTCTGGCCCCCCTGGGGGCTTAGGGCGGGGCCAAACGGGAAATATAACAAATTCTTTAAAATCCTTCTTCTTCTGTAGGAATGAAAGGATTTGTTCCTTATTTGGTCTAAAGCATCCTTGGGAGAAGGGGAACCAATCTTGTATAAACCATTGCTGTGGCCCCCCAGGGGCCTGAGGGGCGGGGCCCAATAGGGGAAATATAGCAAATTATTTAAATCCTTATTCTGTAGGAATGAAAGGATTTGTTCCATATTTGGACTGAAGCATTATTGGGTGAAGGGAACCAATTTTGTATAAACCGTAGCTCTGGCCCCCCTAGGGGCTTAGGGGCGGGGCCAAACAGGGGAAATATAACAAATTCTTTAAAATCCTTTTTCTTCTGTAGGAATGAAAGGATTTGTTCCATATTTGGTCTAAAGCATCCTTGGGAGAAGGGGAACCAATCTTGTATAAACCATTGCTGTGGCCCCCCAGGGGTCTGAGGGGCGGGGCCAAATAGGGGAAATATAGCAAATTCTTTAAAATCCTTCTTATTCTGTAGGTATGAAAGGATTTGTTCCATATTTGGTCTGAAGAACCTTGGGTGAAGAGAAACCAATTTTGTATAAACTGTGGGTCTATTCCCCGCAGTGGCCTGAGGAGCGGGGTCCAATAGGGGAAACATAGCAAATTATTCTTTAATATCCTTCTTCTTTTGTAGGAATGAAAGGATTTGTTCCATATTTGGTCAGAAGCATCCTACGGTGAAGGGGAACTAATTTTGTATAAATCGTGGGTGTGACCCCCCTGGGGGCTGAGGGGCGGGGCCCAATAGGGGAAATATAGCAAATTCTTTAAAATCCTTCTTCTGTAGGAATAAAAGGATTTGGTCCATATTTGGTGTGAAGCATCCTTGGGTAACGGAGAACCAATTTTGTATAAATGGTTGGTGTGGCCCCCCTGGGACTTGAGGGCGGGGCCCAATAGGGAAAATACAGGTAAAACCTTTATAATCCTTCTTCTACCATAGGGATTAAGGGATATTATCCTAATTTAATCTGGAGCATCAATGGGCCAAGGGGACTCTATTTTGTATAAGCAGTGGATGAGGTCTCCCAAGGGGCAGAAGGGCGTGGCCCAATAGGAGAAATAGAGGTAAAACCTTTAAAATCCTTCTTCGACCATCGGGATTATGGGATTTTATCCTTATTTAGTCTGGAGCAACCTTGGGTCAAGGGGACTCAATTTTGTATAATTGGTGGGTTTGACCCCCCCTAGAGGTGGGTTTCTGTTTGAAGTTTGTTCTCACTATATCTCAAGTACTGTATGGATCTTTCTGAAATTTCATATGTACTTACAGCACCTACTTCATACCAATTATTTTAAACATAATCAGGTGAGCGATACAGGCCTTCTGGGCCTCTTGTTTCTCTAAACAAGTGTTTGAAAAAAGAAACAATCAGATGAATTCGCTACTTGTTTAAATATGTAATGATACATTAACAGAACCAAACGTGTTTAACCTTATTCCTTACACATTAATGAAATGAAGTCTTTATAAATAGGAAGCACAATCACTTTTGTTTCGTTCTTTTTTCTATGCAGACCACAGAACTGCGCCCCTACTTAATAATGCATTTGCTAATATACTTAACACACTTTTTTAAAGTGAACACTGTGCATTCTTTTTGTGTTTAATTATTTGTTTCAGATTTCAAGGAACGTAGTGGTGACTATAGTTATAGCGTCATTCATTATTCCAGTATCGCAGGTAGCGCCATTCATTAGTTCAGCATCGCAGGTAAGGTGGCGTTGCATGATGTTCTTCTTTTTCATTTGCTGTCGCTTCAGTTCTTGATGTAGTTGTTTTGAACAGACTTTTAGCACTACCCCTAAACAACTCGCTATTGGGTGTATATTTTGTTATCTTTTCATTATAATATTCAATGCATCGACGATTACAGTTGTTCTTTTTAATGTGATTGTTAAATTGTTTTACTTGATAAGCATAACCCTTTATCTTGTTTCGGGATATTTATTTCTTGTACTCAGGCACCCTACGTCATACCCCATGCTCGTTTTTTCTGTCTCGTCTGATCTGTCTGGTACCTTTACGTGACATGTTGCGGAATATTTACACTGTGATGTAGTCATCCGTGCGTTAACGACTCTAATTGACAATCTACATTATAAATCTCTGTTTATTCGTTATATGTATAGTTTTGATGTTGTTAGATATCTGATGTTGTAGATGATATATAATCTACACTGTGTTATACGTTGTTCTCCTTGTAAGATAGCATTCAAATGTAGATTTAGTCGTGTAGAGGCCATTTTTAATGAGACCCCAGACGGTATACGTGTAGTCTTTGGCAAAATTGAACTGTTGTTTTTTTAACTAAAAGGTCCGACAAAAATCAATTTTCTGCAAGTGAGCGAGATCGGGTTATCTCAGACTCGGGCCAAGATTCTGTAGCATAATTCCAACAGAGGCGTAAGTCGAGGGTGGGATTACGTTACAGAATATTAGCCAACGACTGAGATAACCCGATCTCGCTCACTTACAGGTTAAAAAAAATGTTTATCTAATTTATTGAAAAATGGTTTCTCACCAACGTTTGAAATATACAACTATTCGTAATAAAAGTTATTCTACAAAAAACAGATCTTCGTAATCAATTGTATTAGTTATTTAGCTCTACATGAGTATTTGAAATTGAAACAAGCTGATTCGTATCTAATTATTTAAATATAAAATAATACATAAACAGACCAAACATGAACTTTCGGTTTTGGTTTCAGTCCTTAACAATTGAATGAAAATGAAGTCTTAACAAAAAAGGAAAAACAATTACTTTTGTTCTTTTTTTTCTATGTAGGCCACGTGCACAGAACTTCGCCCTTACATCACAAAAGGGAACCTTACATGTTTTGCATGTCCACCAGGGTTTTACCTCTATGGACATTCCACCACAAATAACACCATAGCAGTCTGTAGGGTGTGTCCACAGGGTTATTACTCTGGTGTCTCCGGTGTCCATACCAGGTGTGAACGATGTTCACCATACTGTGAGTCAGATAATCTTATAGAGGTGTCTAACTGCTCGTCAACAACCAACTTAACATGTGACTGTCCACCAGGAAAGGTACTGAAGGATCCACACGACAAACACCGTGCTATATGTGAGTATCCACCAACACATGAACCTCCGAAAACCACACAGAATTGTAAGTTACTCTCTAATGTGTTCTTTAATGTTTAATATTCCTTCATATCAGACCTACTTAGTCAGATCTTCTAAACATATAGAGGGATTTCTAATGGTTCATCTTAGAAGTCATGTTCTTACCGTGAAAATTGTTCTTCACAAGAACATATTTAGTAAGTTTGTTAATTACTATTCACAATGATATCAAGTGGGCTATATATTCCGACCTAGTATACCTATCATCTTTAACCGGTTAATCAGATCCATCATTATTTTACTTGCCTATCCAATGGACCAGCTTTTTTTTTCTTACACAGAACGGTATCTATCGTCATCTTATTCTTTGAACGACTCTTCTAAATATCAATGTATTGACTGTTTATAATGTGCAACGTTTGAACAAGGGAGTTTACAATTAGTTGTAAAATAAAGGTAAGTCGGTTTAGAGGGTTAATTTGGCTTTTACTTATAGCTCAGAGATATGGGTCCAGTAGCCGAGTAGAAAGTGATTAAGTCAAAGGTTTAAAGCTTCCCTGATGAGGTATCTTTCATGCATCAGAAGAGTTAGATATAAATAGGTTTGTGGTCATTTTTAGGGACTGGTGTATTAATAGGTCATTACTGGGGTAAAAGGGAAGGGCCTGCACATCTAATGAGTGGTCAGTTGCTGGTATTTATAGATTTCCTCGTTATACATCATGATGTATTATTAGACACGATCCCTGTATTTAGTACTAGGTGACTTCAATACTTTGTATTTAACAGTAACTCTATCTTTAGTTTATCTGGTTTCTTGTTATATTTAGTAAATGATGTCATTACCTAGGTTTAGTATGGCTTTGAGAATATTAAATATATGATGTCATCGGCTGACTTAAGTATGGCTTGAGTATATTTAGTATATGATGTCATCGGCTAAGTTTAGTATGGCTTTGAGTATATTTAGTGTATGATGCCATCGGCTAAGTTTAGTATGGCTTTGAGTATATTTAGTATATGATGTCATAAGCTAACTTTAGTATAGCTTTGAGTATATTAAGTATGTGATGTCAGTATCTTAAATTAGTTATACCTATATACAAAGGGTTGTTAGGGAGTTCAACAGGAAGTTTTGGGGGAGATTGAGAGCTACGAGGAGTCTTGAGAGAATTCTACGGAGAGGATTAATGATGACTCGGTAGTATTCTGTAGACATGTGAGGAGTCTAGTAGAGTGGTTTGTAGTGTGAAGAGTAGTTAGTTGAATTAGTCGAAGTAGTGACAATTTTAGGTTACTTTATTCACTTGAACTTGTGGCAAGTACTTTGATTTGATTCCTGTTAATAAAACTTTAGTTTATTTTATGAAAACTTGCATGTTGTGTTTTTATCAGTTGCATCTGTCAGACAGACTGAACGACTGGACTATCATTAAACATAAAGAAATTAACAATTACATTACCAGCAAGATGGTGTCAGAAATGGAAACGTAACAAATTGGTTGTCATGTCAGAAGTGGGAGGTCTAAAAACGTAACATTTATATAAATCAATAATTTCCTTTCTAATTTACATTTTTATAAGACATTTACAACTCTCCTTATTTTAGTACACTTACATAAAATGCATATGTACTAAACAGTTTCCTTTTGTTTTACTGAGTTATGGCTATTATATATTTCATATGGTATGTGCTCAGCATCTGTTGCTGAAGTGAGTTCCAGGTCCTGATTGGTTTTCTTACTTATCAAAGTTATTTAAGGTATTATTATGTTTCCCCTTCGAAGGAAGACATACTGTGTTTTAGTACTTGTTCCTCTGGTTCTGATTCTTTGAATATGATCTTGTCCGGGCCGTAGCTCTTTAGCCGTTAAAGACATCTAAATGAAACCTGCAGTATATATATATATATATACCTGCATCACCCGTAGACGATGTGCAGTGCAATGTCATTTGGTCATTGTGACCTTGACCCCAAGGTTAAAAGCTCCTGTAGTCCTGGTTCTTTTTATATGATCTTGTCCGGGCCGTCACTTTTAATACGTTACAGAGCTCTTGATGAAACTTGAAGCATATCTGCATTACCCAATGAGGGTAAATTGATAAAACGTAGCAATTTCTTCTCGGAGAATCTATATATCTTAGCATTCCTTATATTGTGGCACTAAAGTGTTGATGTTTATAGATATTTTGTTATGCATTAAATTATAACAGTTTATTTATTTTGAACAATTTTCGGAGTTAACTCCAATAACATGTATTCCAGGTTTAGATGAAACTACAAAAAAGGGTAATGCATCCACACACAACCAAACCAAAGCTGATCCTGATTCAGGTAAGTAAATCTGTCTGGCGTAGTACAGATGTCCAAGTGTATCCCATTAGTCACTTATGTCGAATGTTTGCTCATGAGAGGAGGGCATTGTTTTTTTCCCAATACCAAGACATACCAAAGTCCTTTGAAATGGTAGCGGTTACTCCCTGATAAACGTACAGCAATTAGGGAAATGAAAACAACTGGTTCACCTGTTTCCAGTATATTGGGACCAGATTACCTTCCGCTTGGCATTTCAGTGAGGTAGGGCTCTAAAATCGGCATCAGTGCCGCGCTATCGCAAGGAGGCAAATACATCAACCTATACACATGAATGAATGGTATTTTAAAACCCAGTAACACTAAATCAAACCTAACAGAACTGCTGGCATTAATTTTGATAAGAAATTGACAACTACTGTATTATGTAAAAGAGGTCATTCTATATATGCTTAATGTTGTCATATTCATGTTAGAGAACTTTATACAAATACAGTTGATCCACTGCTTTTATATGCATCTTAATATGAGTGCTTTGACAATAACCACAGAGATATTGTACTTCAACCTATATGCGTTTCTGGTACCTGTGCAATATCATCGAGGCAGTTCAGAATACAATTATGTCAGTTTAAAATACATTGTTGCTCGTACTGACGGGCGTATAACAAGCGAGGGTGAGATAGAGAACGAACAGAAATGCTTGTAAGCGTCATACCCAGTCGAACGCAATGCATGGCTCCAGAATTATTTTAATTTTGTATAAACGTTTATATTTCGTGATAAAGTAGTACATTTTATATCTTTAGGAAAATTGGAAGATGTCGGAATCGTTAATTTAACTAACAACACTTAGGTTTGAATCGTATTCAAGGTCACAAGCATCAAATATGTTAAAAACTTCAAACGACTAAAGATCTTCCCATGATTGGTGCCAAGATCATGCACTCTAGGATCATATATAAATGTTTCCTATGTTAGTCAATTCACTGACATGCATAGAAATTATATGCTTTGCTTGTATATCTTCAGACGATTTCAGCATAGTCAAAGAGGATATCAATGACACGAAAAAAGATGTCAAAACACTGAAGAAGAATGTCAGGGCCATAAAGAAAGATGTTGGTAGACTAAAGGAGGATGTTGGTGCCGTGAAGGATACTCTGAACACCCTGTTAAAAGAAATTAATTACATCGAAGGTATGAAAGTTAGTCCGATCATATCAGCATTTAAAACCCGGACACACTGGTAACAGAATTTAGTTTTTGTGATTTATTGATTGATTGATATCAAAGAAAAAAACAAAAGCTTTAATTTATGTTAAATGATTGTTCGCCCCTTTGGGATTTCAAAATACAGTGAAGTTAAGACACTGACAAACTTGCTAGCTCACTTGTCTAAGAGCAATTGAGTTTATGCTGTGGACGTGCACCGTCCATCTGTCCATTTTTCACCAAAAGCCTACTAGTGCAGAATGGCTTAATATAATTTAACTTTATTTGGTGTGCAGCATTGCCAGGATCAGGTGAATCAATATTGTTTAAACACAGTTGTCACCGAGGGGGATGACAAGTATATCCCCTGCATACAGGTAAATTGTATAATGTCAATGGAAATTTATGCCATTGTCTGTACTCTGGTTTAATCTTCGATCCCTTTGGNGTAGCCGGTTTCCTGAAGTACAGAAAAATGGACACATGTGACTCATTGACAAAAGAAAACCTGAATTAATGCCTGGATTGCTATGAAATACTTTAATATTGAGAGAACACACTGTTCTGTCAATAATAAACATACAATATTCATCAATTTAATATTAATCATTAGAATTTGCGGAAATTGTGTTGCTGTCTCCCTACATTGGTTATTCAACTAGGGATGTACTTCCTGTTTCCGTTTATTAATACACTTTAATGACCTTAATGCACCTTGAGGTAACTTTTGATCTAAACTTAATATTGATGTGTATGAAAGCCAACCTTCAAAGTGAGTTTGTCATTTCACAAATTTACTAGTACAGTACTTAATGTGAAAGAAATATAATCAATCATTGCGATATGAGAAAAATTTGTTATTTTCGTCATTTTGTTTTTATGATCAGTCTCAAAATATAACATGCACAACGAGGGATCAATGGGGAACCTACATATCAAATTTGAAAAAGATCCCTCAAGTTATTCCTGAGAAATAGTACTAACAAACCTTCAATGTCAAAAATCATAGATGGCTGTCGGTAGGCCATTTTGTTTAACTGATCAGTTTCAAAAGTAAACATGAACAATAAATGATAGCGGGGAACCTGCATTGGCTGACCCAAAAAAATGTTTTTGGGCGAGTAAAAAATTTGAAGCACTGGCCCAAATGACATATTGGAGACCCAAATAATTTCGGGACGAAATATTTCCACGGCGTTTAACACAATGCTTCAGCACATTTAAATTACATATAACATGACAATGTTTGTAATATGTAAAACAGAATAAAACATTATATTTTTAATTCTCCAACCCTAATTAAAACCTGACATGATCCACTCCATTCAGGTCTTCCCAAAAAGAAATACACAAAACTCGCACCTCAAAGAAGACACCCTGGCAGTATTTATATAGAAAATCTGAAGAAAAGGGGACTATAATTTCTTTTATTCATTAATTTTTCGACAGTCGCCCAAACGATTTTTGTTGGGCCAGTGACTACCTCACTTTTGACAACTTTTGGTCGCTCAAGCAAGACTTTAACCGCCATTGGCGAGTAGGCGACCGTCCATTTCAGGCACTCCTGCAACATCAAGGGAACAAGGGAAACCTACATATAAAATTTGAGAAAGATCCCTCTGGTACTTCCTGATTTTTTTTTTCCATCCCATTGCTTTTTTAGCTTACCTCGCTCGAAGGGCCAAGTGAACTTATCCCATGCCGCAGCGTCCGGCGTCCGTCAACTTTTTCCTTTACAATGCTACTAGTCCTGAACGGCTCAGAGGATTTTGACCAAATTTGGTCTGGAGCATCATTGGCCAAAGGGTTCTCAGTATTGTATAAACGGAGGGTATGGTCCCCCTGGGGGCAGAGGGGCGGGGCCCAATAGGGGGGAAATAGGTAAATCTTTAAAAATCTTCTTCTCAACCAATAGAATGATTTTGACCCAATTTGTCCTAGAGCATCTTTGGACAAAGGAGACTCAAGTTTGTATAAACGGAGGGTGTGGCCCCTCTGGGGGCGGGCCCAATAGGGGAAATAGAGGATTTTTTTTCTCCTACTATACAAGTGAAGGGATTTAAACCAAATGCAATCTGAAGCATGATTAGGGACAAACAAATCAATTTTGTATAAACTGAGGTGAGTGGGCCCCCTTCTTTGGGGCAGACAGGTGGGGCCCATTAGGGGAAATAGAGGAAAACATCAAAGATCCTTCTCCTTTTGTACCGATAAAGGGATTTTGACCAAATTTGGTCTGGAGCATCATTTGCCAATGGGTTCTCAGTTTTGTATAAACGGAGGGTGTGGTCCCCCTGGGGGCAGAGGGGCGAGGCCAAATAGGGGGGAAATAGGTAAATCTTTAAAAATCTTCTTCTCAATCAAAAAAAGGATTTGGACCTAATTTGTTCTAGAGTATCTTCGGACAAAGGAGCCTCAAGTTTGTATAAACGGAGGGTGTGGCCCCTCTGGGAGCATAGGGGCGGGGCCCAATATGGGAAATAGAGAAAAAAAATTCTCCTACTGTACAAGTGAAGGGATTTAAACCAAATGCAGTCTGGAGCATGCTTAGGGACAAAATAATCAATTTTATTTAAACTGAGGCGTGTACATGGGGACCCCCTTCTTTGGGGCAGATGAGTGGGGCCCATTAGGGGAAATAGAGGAAAACATTAAAGATCCTTCTCCTGTACCGATGAAGGGATTTTAACCTAACCAAACTTGTTCTAGAGAATCTTTGGGCAAAGGGAATTGAATATTTATAAATCGAAGATGTGCGTCCGTAAACAATTTACGTTTTCGACTTCTCCAAAACCCCTGAACCAATTTCAATGAAATTATGCAGAAGCCTTCCATGGCCAAAGGTCAACAAAAATAGTGGCCGATTTGGTCCCTAGCCCCCAGGGGCCTGAGGGGCGGGGCCAAAAATGGTCAAATTGACTGGAATTTCAAAAATCTTCTTCTCAAGACCCAGATATGGTAGAATCAAATACTCTTCATAGATGGAAGGGTCTTAAGGTGCTTTACCAAAATTGTGAATTTCTTGACCCTGGGGTCTCACGTTTCCCCCTGGGGAGGGGGTAAACTTTATAGTTTATATAAGGAAATCACATTTTGGACTATTATTTGTTTAATTTCCATTGGAAGTAATTCAATTTAGGTTGGCATTATCAGTATTAGATAGCAGTTTGATGGTATGCATATATCAGCCCTGACTGACCCCCCAGGGTTGATGGGACGAGCCAAAAAGAGTTGAATTGACTGAAATTTCAAAAATCTTCTTCTCAAGACCCAGATATGGTAGAATCAAATACTCTTCATAGATGGCTTGGTCTTAAGGTTTATGACCCTAGAGTCTCACATTTACCCCCTGGGAAAGGAGGGGGGGGGGCAAAATTTATTATGGTTTATAATGGCAAATGATACTTTGAATATTACATGTTAATAACTTGATTGGAATTATAACCCTGAGTTGACAGTTTGATAATTTGAAAATTTTGAGCCAGCCCTACCCCCAAGGGCTGTAGGGTGGGACCCAAAGGAGTTTGTGTGCTGAAATTGCTTCATTTTCCTTGTTTAGAATCAGAGGTGCTAGTTTCAAATACTTTTTATAAAAAGTCTTAAATCTGTATGCTAGATATTGAATAAGGTGGTTTTATTGTTTTGTCACTTTGAATAATATTTCTGTTCATGTTAATGACAAAATCAACTCTCTATAAATATATCAGGTGACCGTTAAGGCCCATGGGCCTCTTGTTTATTTTTCGGGCGGGCGAAACATGTTTTTCATGTTAAAACCGTTAAGATTCGGCCAGAAGTGAGAGGGTTGACACCTCGGCATGGTACTGCCACTACACAAAAAGTTTCAAAGAAATCTATTGAAAAATGAGCAAATACAAAGCCGGACAAAGTTTTGTCAATTTTCTTAAGCAAATTGGCATAAATCTCTTAAAAAGGTTCGAAACGAAAAACTGATCAGGGGCACAACAACATATGATTCTGCATCTACACGAAAAAGTTTCTAAGAAATCTTTTGAAAAATGAGCAAATGCATAGCAAGACAATTTTTTTTTTTTTACGTAAACTAATTTACTCTCTTAAAAAGTTCTGAAACGCGAAATAATGTCAGGGGGCACAATTACATATTGTACTGCCACTACACTACTATTTTAAAGAAATCTATTGAAAAATGAGCAAATTCATAGACGAACAAAGTTTTGTCAAATTGTTTACGTAAAGGGGCATACTCCCTTAAAAAGATCTGAAGCAGAATATTTTGTAAGATTTTTTATCAATTGTTTTAATATGTTAAAGGCCATTAATGCATATAGTACTATAACTTCACGAAAACAAATTCAAAGAAATCTATTGAAAAATGAGCGAATGCATAACCGGACAAATTTGGTATACGGACCGACGGACAAGTTGATTCCAATATAACCCCAGGGGGTATAAAGAAAGATATGTCCCCTCCGGGAGAAGAGGGTCAGGGCCAAATAGGGAAATTTTAGGCAAATATTTAAGACTCTTCTCCTTGAGTATCGCTCAAGGGATTATAATCTTAACTGGCCTTGAACAGCCTTTGGCAAAGGAAAATCAGTATTGTATAAATGATAGATGTGCCCCTGCCGCCATCTTGGGGGCAGAGGGACAAGGCCCAATAAGGTAATGAATCAGTTTAATGATGTTTATACCTTGCATACAGTCTTTTTACCCACTTTTCTGTTATACTTTCCATTTAGTGTACTATTTTACTCTACGCTAAGTCCACTCAGTCTATAGTCGAATTCCAGAGATTGTCATTATGCCTATCGTAAGTTTGTTTACACCAGAAACCTATTGATGTGCCCTAATGTTTACCACTCGATTGCCTTTCATAATGGATAAATATAAGAATATCGTTACAGTTGTGTGACTGCACAACGCAACAAAAATACTGTGCGCACACCGTGCATACATCGTTCACACACCGTCCGCACATCGTCCACACATGGTGCGCACAACTGGGCGATTTAACAATCGTTTGCCCCGTTGTGCGTATCTCTCAGCACAACTGTGCGATATGGTACAATTTGTTAATCAATATTACGGAATGAAAAAACCCCAGAAGGCTCGAGTGCAATAATAATGTACACTGTATTATTACTGTAATTTTTCATCACAATAATTAAAATAACGTACAATTTTATAATGCGTGTAACACAGTATACAGTGATTGTTAGACTGTCAAGAATGGATTTGGCTCCTAGCTCGGTAACAGACAAGTAAATAACAATTTGATGAGTCACCGGAGTTTTACCTGGCCTGTGCCCGACACATAGAGCTGCTATGTGATACCGTATGACCGTTATGAAAACACCACTAGACGTTGAGTATTTGTTATCTGCATTCATTCTCATCTATAACTCCCTTCGCCTGGTTTTCACACCTTGGCTAGTGACGTAAGTGCCCCGGGCGGGGGAAAACTACGGTCCAGTACAAAGTGGCTATGTTTACCTGTGTTGCCGAGACTGTGTTGTAATTTTACATGTGTCGATTAAGGTCGTTTAAAATCACCGAAAACACCATTTCTACATTTAAGAAAGTATAGACTGATAAATAAGCTTATAGATGTAGTTAGAATATAGAAACATGCTAAAAAATCAAGTTTATATGTTTAAACACCAAACCGTATATATTGTTAAGCCATTCCTCAATTTACACCAACCACGATTGTTATCGCACAACGTTCGTCGAGCATCCGCACAAATGTGCGCAAGCAATGATCGTCCAACTTTTTATCGTTTGCACTCCGTGCACACATCATGCGCACATCGTATAACGTTGTGCGATCCCACAACTGTATTATATTTATTTGGACACATCTATATTGTGAGGATTATTACTACATTGATCATCGGAGCATTTGCAGATAAAATAACATACTGAAACACACCTTACACCAAATATAACTGATGCTGAAATAACACTTAACTCCCATTCCCATAACATCCACAGACTTGATAGAACAAGAGGCCCAAGAGGGCCTGATTTGCTCACCTGAATATTTAAGCAGTCATAGCAAAATAATCTCATTAAATATCATATTGCACTTGCTCTATCCCAGAAAGTCACCAGCCAAATATTATAATTTTTGAATTTTAATTCTTCAGAAGAAGTAGTTTAAAACGTTTGACATATTTGAACGCTGTGACCTTGAAAATAAGTCAAGATCATTTTCATTCGCAAACGTTTTTTGGCTCTTTCCCAGGAAAAAACCAGCCAAATATTAAGGTTCTATACCTTCCAGTTCTTCAGAAGAAGTTGTTCTTAGCATTAGACATATCTGACTCCTGTGACCTTGAAAGAAGGTCAAGGTCATTTTCATTCGCAAACCTTGTTGGGTTCTTTCCCAGGAAATAACCAACTAAATATTAAGGTTCTATACCCTCCAGTTCTTCAGAAGAAGTTGTTTGAAGTATTTCACATATCTGCCTCATGTGACCTTAAAAGTAGGTCAAGGTCATTTTCATTCTTAAACTTTGTTGGGGTCTTTCCCAGGAAGCTACAAGCCAAATATTTAGGTTCTATAACTTTCAGTTCTTCAGAAGAATTAGACATATCTGACTCCTGTGACCTTGAAAGTAGGTCAAGCTTTGTCAGGCTCTATCCCAGGAAGCCACCAGCCAAATATAAAGATTCTATACCTTCCAGTTCTTCAGAAGAAGTCGTTTGAAGTGTTTGACACATTTGACCCCTGTGACCTTGAAAGAAGGTCAAGGTCATTTTCACCCTTAAACTTTGTCGGGCTCTATCCCAGGAAGCCATCAATCAAATATATAGATTCTATACCGTTCAGTTCTTCAGAAGAAGTCATTTGAAGTGTTTGACACATTTAACTCCTGTGACCTTGAGAGTAGGTCAAGGTCATTTTCATTCCTTAACTTTGTTGGGCTCCATCCCAGAAAGCCATCAGCCAAATATGAAGATTCTATACCTTTTAATTCTGAAGAAGAAGTCGTTTGAAGTTTTTGACATATTTGACCCCTGTGACCTTGAAAGTAGGTCATTTTAGTTTTCAAATATCACTAGGAGAGGCACCCGCCGAATCCACCTCCATCAACGTCGCTCTCCGAGGAGGGGTGCGAGGAGGGGAAAGAGAACGTGACCTACCCAACGGAACTATCGGGGCAAGCGATAGTCCCCGAGAGACAGCAGGAGCAGGATCAAGAGACCCTGGAACCTGTTGTAGGGTAGGAGTTTACACAGGACAGCAGAAGTTACTGGTAGACTCAAATTCCAAAATAGGAGCTCGAGCCAACGCAGCACGACCAGCAGCCCTAGCATCACGCGGTCTCTGCCTGACAGAACCGGCAGCAGAAGCTGGGCGGGAGCGCGAACGCTTACGCGAACGGCTCGGTGGCGGATGTAGGGGGGGACCCATCGCCGCAGGCAAGAAGGCGGGGGGTGGGGGGGCATATCCAGGCTGGAAACCCATACCACCCTGGGGTGGAGGGGGAGCGGCCGGAAAAGCCCCCTGCTGGGAGAAACCCCAAGACTGCCCATAGGCGGTCGGTGGTTTGGGCGGAGCATAAAAAGGAGCCTGTTGACCCCAATGAGCTCCATTCCAACCCTGCAAATAGGTGGGATAAACCAGGGTGGACCCTGGAACAGAGCCACCAACCTGATGCCTGAAACCGGAGGCAGGACCGGTTTGGGGGGGGGGGCAGGGGAGGGAACCTAGGGCCACCTACACACCCGCCGCCATAAGCCACACCTGGCTGATCTGACCAACTCCACCCAGACTGACCTACAGCATTGTAATTTTTCAACAGTTCATGTTTTCATATGATGTAGACTTAGAATGTATGATCATGTAACAACCTTTTCTCTATAAAGAATTAGTTTTCGACTTCAGGTAGAATCGGAATACGTATTGAAAACAGGGGGAAAATATTGTATTGCGTTGTAAAAATGGCGCGTACTGCCGATAACTACGGCTTCTGTTTCGGACAAAAGGAACTGATTAAAGAAAAGTTGTACAACATAAAAAGGTCCATTTACAAGTATGCTTAATCTCTGTTAAGTATTGAAAAAATATAAATATCCAGTATCTCAACATTTTCCATATCTGACACATATTGTACATGTACACGTAGTGGTTTTGCCATACAGTTTATTGTGTGTGATGGCTAATTTGACTTACTAAGTGTTAGCATATGGAGACAGTGAAAGTGGGAAAGAGAGTATACATACATTTATATGCATGGTCTAGAAAAAAAATTGGCCAAAGACATTGAGTGCAATGTAATAAATTAACTCATAAACGTTTCTCTTTTTAGCTCACCTGCCCGAAGGGCAAGTGAGCTTATGTCGTGGTGCGGCGTCCGTCGTCCGTCCGTCCGTCCATCCTCGTCCCGTCAACTTTTCCTTTAAACAACTTCTTCTGAAGAAAGGACAGGCCTAGAATCATGATATTTGGCTGAAAGCTTTGTTGGTAGGAGCCCTACAAAGTTTGAGAACGAAAATGACCTTGCCTTACTTTCAAGGTCACAGGGGTCAAATATGTTAAAAACTTCAAAAGACTTCTGAAGAATTAAAAGGTATAGAATCTTCATATTTGGCTGATGGCTTTCTGGGATGGAGCTTAACAAAGTTTGAGAATGAAAATGACTTTGACTCACTTTAAAGGTCACAGGGGTCAAATGTGTCAAACACTTCAAACGACTTCTTCTGAAGAACTTAAAGGTATACAGAATCTTCATATTTGGCTGATAGGTTCCTGGGATGGAGCCCAACAAAGTTTGAGAATGAAAATTACCTTGACCTACTTTCAAGGTCACAGGGGTCAAATGTGTCAAAAAGCTTCAAATGACTTCTTCTGAAGAACTGAAAGGTATAGAATCTTTATATTTGGCTGGTGGCTTCCTGGGATAGAGCCAGACAAAGTGTGAGGAAGAAAAATAGTTTGACCTACTTTCAAGGTCACAGGGGTCAAATATGTCAAAAACTTTAAACGACTTCTTCTGAAGAACTAAAAGGTATAGAACCTTCATATTTGGCTGATTGGTTCCTAGGATGGAGCCCAACAAAGTTTGAGAATGAAAATTACCTTGACCTACTTTCAAGGTCACAGGGGTCAAATGTGTCAAAAAGCTTCAAATGACTTCTTCTGAAGAACTGAAAGGTATAGAATCTTTATATTTGGCTTGTAGCTTCCTAGGAAAGAGCCCAACAAAGTTTGAGAATGAAAATGACCTTGACTTACTTTTAAGGTCATATGAGGCAGATATGTCAAACACTTCAAATGACTTCTTCTGAACAACTGGAAGTTATAGAACCTTAATATTCGGCTGGTTATTTCCTGGGAAAGAGCCCAACAAAGTTTGCGAATGAAAGTGACCTTGACCTACTTTCAAGGTCACAGAGGTCAACAACATTTTAATGGATTTGTTCTTAAGAACTAAAAGGAATGGATTCATAAAAATTTGGCTGGTAGCTTTTGGAATAGAGCTTACCAATTTGAGAAGGAAAATGACATTGACCTACTTACAAGGTCACAGGGAAAAATATGTAAAGCAACTTCTGAAGAATCAAAAAGCGTAGAATCTTGTAATAATATTTTGCTGGTAGTTTCAACAGATGGAGCCAACAAAGTTTGCGAGGGAAATATTTTTAGTGCAATATAATATTTAATGAGAATATTTTGCTATGACTGCTTAAATATTCAGGTGAGCGATACAGGCCCTCTTGGGCCTCTTGTTTCATACGCGTGTAGTTTGTCACTGCATATATGCACTTTATGTAAACATTTGAAAAGGGGTATTCATACCGTCAATAATCCTTTTTAACAGAAAGGTTTGCCCTATGGTTGAGGGAAGGTGTTTAGCCCCGAACCATCTGTACCGGTCACATTCCGGTGCTACATTCAATATATATTTATATATATCTACATTATGTTTATGCCTATTATAATTGTTGACATTTAATTGTAAATGTATGTCGGGAGAAGGCTGTGATAAATTGTAAAAACTTGTGCCCCATCTGCCTTGTTCAATTTTATTGGCAACAAATATATGTTTAAAGCTAAATTAATTCAAATTCTGAATATTGCAAGTTTGCAATTAACTTCTGATGATAAATAATTATTGTTCAATAAGTTTGAATACGGACTTAGAAATCATATGACTTGGTTTCATAGTGCGTTAAGAAGTTGCAGTTGCCTAATGGCCCCTCTCTTGGGGGCCCCTTTGGAAACCGTTTCATCTCGCTCACACCACTTGTGTTTACTGCCTAGGAGCAGTCAGGTGACGTTATCGGCGCTATTTTTAGCAGGGCTTTCCCGAACAATTCAAGTGGTCAAACTGGACATTTGGAACGGACTATGAGTATGGGGATAACGAGGTAACATAAGTGGAAGTGCATACAATACATACATTCATTAAAAAAAATATGACTCTTCATGTGATGTCCCTTTAAAGTCATACTTCTGGAATGTGAGAAAAGTGATGTTTTACCTGAATTGGTCTGGAGAATACTTTGGACAAGGGGATTCAACCCTGTGTAATTTAGGGTAATGTCCCCTGGAAGCAGAGGG